CCAGCTGATTGTCAGGTGTGCATGCACGCCAGAACTCGGAAGTCCAGCTTTTCCGGGAGCGCAATCTCTTTGCACGCGCGGCAAAAAACCTGCCTCTGCATGCATACTGGCCAGCTGATAATCAGGCGTGCATGTGTGCTAGTACCCAAAAGTTTGCCTTTTCTGGAGCACCCCCCCCCCGACAAACATGCCCACGTGTGACATTTCTGTGTGACCTTTTCAGTACTTGGTGCCGAACAAGTTCGCCATCACTTTCCTAGCCAATCTCACAATCCTTCGCTCCGACCCCTACCTTGCAGTAACCACTTACCTGCCTGATGGGAAAGGAAATGAAGAGAAGGGCAGGGGAGGGGAGAGAAGGAAGGAAGGATGGATGGATCAGGGAGATAGCATATCCCTCTTGCATGCTTCCATGCACCCTTCTTGACCTGTGCCTTCCTGGATAACTTCTATGGCCCATATGGCACCTCTCACACATCCTACACACATTCCCCAACTTGCACCACTCCCGCATGCTTTCCCCACCCCATGAGGCACCTCTTGGCCACCCTTCCACAGCCTTCCTGACCCCCATGGACACTGTTGTGACCTGCATGGTACCTCTTAAATGATTAATTACCTGTATTGTTTTCAGATATTTCAGTTAATGGTACAAAATCAGCCTGAACTGGTCTACTACTTAGTTTTTCAGTCTGAATTTAGTACTTTGTTATATTTAAAGGAAAATGTTAAATATTTGAATGATTTGTCAGAGGAAAAATACTTCAAGGAAAGTTTCTTTTCCAAAATATAAGCAAAACACTTATTCATGCATCAATAGTTGAAATATTTATGGCTATGATTTGCTAACTTTTAAACATTCCATAATGTCCACCAAATGTCCTAATCTCATGAGGCTGAGATTTCTGTGGAGAACTTAAATCTTCAGCAACAACACTAGAAACTGTATTGGCTGTGCAAATTTTTCTTGGCTTATCTGGTAAGTGATTACAGATTTGAAAAACATTATGTAGCAGAAATACAAATATCATCCACCATATATACTATAAAATAGTACAGCTTACCTTCATGATTTTTAAACAATTACTAATTTATACGATTGTGTATTTGCACTGACAATCATTTTTAAAATATTAAACAAAAACAGCCTATTAATTTTACTTTTTTCATTATGCTCATTAAGAACTTTATAATTTATAATTATCAACTTTTAACATGAGATCTGAGATATTGGGGTAGCCTAATTTTTCCAAAGATTTACTTATAATCTTTAATTAATTTAAAAAATTATTTTTTTCTTTTCAGATATTTTGGCTGCATTAAGGCATAGCACCATTCCACAGTGTATCTGATTGCTCTTTTACCTCCTTCACACACGTGGAGGAATTTGAGGTTTTTATAAAACTATGATATGATGCTAGTCCCAAACTGCTAATTAATATTTCAAATTGTATGCTCTCACTTCAACCACGTGACTCTGGGTGGCTTGCAATTCTGAAACTATAAAACAATAAACTGAAACTAAAAACAGTAACAATAAAAACAGCCAGAAAATGAAGCAGCCGAAATAGACAACCAACAGTAAAGCAAGAATCGGGCCTTTAACACATTCAGAGCCCTATGTACGGGTACATAGCCAAGTTTTTAAGAGTCTTGCAAAAGGGCAACAAAGTTGGGGCCTTTCTAATCTCCAAGGAGGGAATATTGCACAAAGCTTGGGCTACATCAGAGAAGACCCATCTTTCAGTTCTGTTGGTCGACATCTTTGGCTGATGGGATCTGCAACACGCCCAATCTTAACAGTATAAGGCTGCCTATCTCATATAATGAGCCTAGGCAGCTCACAATTGATAAAAATAAAAATAAGAGCTAAACCACCAAAGATGCCCGACCAAACACTCCCATCTCAGCCCCCATCCTCAACAATGCATGGGGGAAGAACCAGGTCTTTGTGTGCTTCTGGAATGCTAAAAGTGTAGGGATCCAAGTCAGGTGGGAGTTCTCTATAGACTCCAACATAACCATTTGGATGATACCAGGAGACATAGCAATATAAACTTCTACTTGGCAAAGGTCAACATTGGGTCTGGTGTTTGTGGTAATGCAGGGCAAATGCTAACATGTTTGAATCATAATACAAATAATGTAACTTAAATTGTTGGATCAGATGTTAGGATGCAAATTAATGACTTAAATTATATGAGCACATCATTTGCACAATGGTGTTAGGATGCATATGTCAAATATTTTAACATTGCTGTAGCTTACTACAGATATCTTATACCAACTAGTTGCATCTGTAACATTGGCAGTGCATTCATGGACTGTCTTCTTTTGGGACATGTCGTGCTGCTAGGGAACGACTCTGGCAATGCCACTGGATCCTAAGGCTGGAATTAAAATGCAGTTCTATAAAGGATTAATTATTTTCTAATAGCATCACAAGACCAATTTTATACCAGTAAAACCCATTTCAATAGTTTATTAACAAACATTAAAAGAGCATTAAAATAATTACAGGTAGTCCTCTATTTATGATCATTTGATTAGTGATGGTTGCAGATATGACGGCACTGAATGAATGGCGGTTACAACTGCTATTCCAACAACCCTTCAGTCATGTGATTGCAGTCTAGGAGCATTTATGACTGGTGGCAGTGACCATAATCACATATTCCTCATTTTCCCTGCTGGCTTCCCTAGAAAGTCAATAGGGAAGCTGTCAGGAAAGGTCACAAATCACTGGAGTAAATCTGTCTCATATGCATCCTCCTCCAGCCTCTCTGCACATATCCTGCGCCAACCACTTATGTACCCTTCCCCACCCTCCCTTAGTGCTGCTGCACCTCAGACCCTCATACAGTCCTGCGTGCCCTCCCCAAGCCTTCCATAGCCTGCTCAGATCCTTGTATACCCTCCTCAAACCTCGCTGTGCCTCCCTCTCCCCAAGGCTTGTTTGCATCTTTGGCTATCCACCTTCCTTGAGTACCCCCCCCCCAAGGAGTGTCACGCCTCCCTCGCCTCCTTGTGCACCCCACATTTGACAGGAACCACTAACTTATCTACAGGCCTGCTTGTGAATTGTCTGGCACCTGCAACTTCCTACCAACTTTCCCACTGACCTGGTTGTGGGAAGCCTGTAAGAAGTTCCTTGTTTAACAATCATGGGATTCAGTTAACAAAGGCAACAGGGATTGCTTAGTGATAGAAATTCATATCCCAATTGCCATTGTAAGTTGAGGGTTACCTGTATACTGTTATGTCTCTACTGAAAAATAGGATTTTAAATGCTGAAGAAGCTTACAAACCACTACTGATTATACACATCTTATAATAACACAGTGAAGGAAAACAGAGGCTGAGCTTTATTTTTCTTCCTTTTTCAGGAAAGGATATGTGGCAACACGGTCTTTGCTTGGTGAATCACTGAAGTTGAGCAATTGTAGCCTTGTTGAAATGTAAGGACAGCAAACAGATGCAAAATACTGAAAAAACTGCAACTCACTGAATTCCCAGGGTGTTGCAAAATACAAGCTTAATATACCGTAAATGCAAAACTGTTTAAAATGAAAATGAAACGGAATGCTTATTACTAAAAGCAGAACAAAAAGACTGCTTTTTGCAACACTCAGCTCCATTTCAAACAGTTGCTGATGTTATTCATTGTATTTCTTGCATAATTCATTTGGTCCCATTTCCACCCCCACCCACCCCCCCACTTCTGTTTGAATGTTTGCCTTTTAATAACATTAGCGCAGATGGAAAATGGAGCTAAATCTCTCAGACTGTTGAGCCTGTTTATGACATAAGGCTTTCTGCATTAGTTGAGAAAAGGACACTTGAAAATCATTAAGGAAAAAATGCATTCCTTTACAAGTTTATCCTTTTACTAAAAATGTATTTTACTGCCACCTTGTGACAGTGTTCTGAATTTACTAAATATTTTGAGGACTACATAATTAGTCAATGTTCTCAATCAGAATAGAGCTGGAAGGGACCTTGGAGATCTTCTAGTCCAACCCCCTGCTCAAGCAGGAGAACCTCTACCATTTCAGGCAAGTGACAGTCTAGTCTCTTCTTAAAAATCTCAAGTGATGAAGAACCTACAACTTCTGATGGCAAGCTGTTCCACTGATTAATTCTCCTGTTATGAAGTTTCTCTTTAGTTCCAGGTTGCTTCTCTCCTTGATTAGTTTCCATCCATTGTTTCTTGTCCTGCCTACAGGTGCTTTGGTAAATAAGTTGGCCCTCTCCTCTTTGTGGCAACCTCTCAAATATTGGAATATTGCTATCATGTCACCCCCTAGTCTTTCTTTTCCCTACACTAGCCAAACCCAGATCCTGCAATCATTCTTCATGTTTTAGTCTCCAGGCCTTTAATCATCTCACCTGCTCTTCTTCACACTTTTTATAGAATATCAACATATTTTTTTGTAGTGGGGTGACCAAAACTGGATGCAATATTCCAAATGTGGTCTTACTAAGGCTTTATAAAGCGGTATTAATACTTTATGTGATTTTGATTCTATGCCTTTGTTTATACAAACAAGGATTGTATTAACGTTTTTTGGCCGCTGCTGCACACTGCTGCCTCATATTTAAGTGCTCATCCACTAGGTCTTCAAGGTCCTACTCACAGTTACTGTTTTTGAGCTAGGTCTCACCTAATCTGTATTTGTACCTTTGGTTTTCCTGCCTAAGTGTAAAACCTTGATTTCTCTACATTAAATTGCATGTTGTTGGATAGGCCCCATGGTTCAAGTCTGTCAAGATCTTTTGGGATCCTAAGCTTGTAGTCTGAAGTGTTGGCTATCCCTGCCAGCTTAGTGTGATCTGCAAATTTGATGAGTTCCCCTTCTATTCCTTCATTTAAGTCATTTATGAAGATATTGAAAAATACTGTGGCCCCCACTGCTACTTCCCTCCATGTAGATGTAGTACCATTAAGGACTACTTGTTAAGTACAATTTGTCAGCAAGTTACAAATCCATATGGTGGTAATGCTGTCTATCCTACATTTTTCTAGCTTTCCAAGAAGTAGGCTGTGGTCTACTTTGTCCAATGCCTTGTTGGATGAAAAAGGAAAGCATCCATTTAATCTAAGGAGCCATTTGGAAAAAAAGAAACTGGAAAATTCTTAAATAGAAAAGTAATTTGTTTTAGTATTAAGTGCTCAATTATTTAAGCATGATTGTTCATTGTGCCCATATAGTTAAGAAAAGTAATTATTTATTATGTTGCACTGACAGTCTCTTTGGCAACAAAACAAAATACATGCATTCAAATTCAACTGATATGTAATAAAGTACTGGGATGTAAACCTTTAAAAGCAATGTTATCAAGTAACAGCTGGCAAACAGAAATCATTATAAAAGTGAGCAGGGCTGTATTCCATTGTAAAAACATTCTCCTGGAAAGACAAAGAAATATTTCTTAGCTTACTATTCCTATTATTATCTATATGGGAAGCAATACTTAGTCATTTAAATAAAAGCAACAGTATAAAAACTACTATAATTTTAAAATCACTTTTTACACTTTAGCAGAAGAGACTACTGTTGCAGTTTTCCTAAACTACTAAAAATTTAAAGCTCTCACTCTGAATTTTTTTGGAAGATTTATTTCTTATTTTTATTTTATTTATTTTGTGAAGCATGAATTAGATAACACATAAACATGATTATGAATACATGAAATGAATACAAAGGAATATTAGGACAGGGACGGTAGGCACATTAGTGCACTTATGCATGCCCCTTAAAGACCTCTTAGGAATGGGGTGAGGTCGACAGTAGACAGTCTAAGATTAAAGTTTTGGGGGTTTGGGGAAGGAACCAATGTCAGATAGTGCATTCCAGGCATTGACAACTCTGTTACTGAAGTCGTATTTTCTGGAATCAAGTTTGGAGCGGTTTAGATAGATTTGTATCTATTGCGTGCTCCTGTATTGTTGTGGTTGAAGCTGAAGTATTACAGGTAGAACATTGTAGCAGATAATTTTATGCACGACGCTTAAGTCGGATCGAAGAGGGCAACATTTTAAGTTGTCTAAGCCCAAAATTCTAAGTTCAAACAGAATAGTAGAGGGTTACACCATCCTAGACTACATTAATTTCTTATACAAAGGGATGTATTTTGTTATCTAGCTTTCAACATGGAAATCTGCAGAAACACTGTAAATCTTGGTAGCCTTCAGAGAGTGACTGCCCACCACATGCCTATGTTAGGACCAGAATTCACAATTGTCTGACTTTTAATCCATTGCCTTAACAACTAGACTAAATTGGCTCTTTTGGAGACCCATCCACTTATTCATAACATTATCTCGTTTGTGCTGAAAGTTGGAAGTTGATGATGGAAGTTGGAGTAAAATATGTAAAATTCATGGCTTTAAATGAATACTGTTTTCTGCTTTAATTAGACTGTAATTATTAGAACCTTCAACAATAAATAAAAATAGTACATTAAACAGTTTGTCAATGAAATTGCTATTAATTGTTGATTATGTTGGTGATAATAATGACTATATGTTATCTAAGTAAAATATTCCAATGACTCTCTTTAGAGATGCTGTTATTGCATGCTCTAAATTGGAATTCATTTATGATCCTTGTAGGATATCAAAAAACTGCAAAATGAGGGAAACCTTCGAGTAACTTCTATATATTTTTAAAAGAAGTTTGTATAGAATCATAGAAATATAGGGCTGGAAGACACCTTGGAGGCTTTCTAGTTCTGTCCCCCCCCCCCCTTCAAGGCAGAATACTTTATTGTAATATATATTTGGGTATATACAATTTAACTTGAGAACTTTTAAGAAAGCCTCCTGAGGCTATTTATCTCAGAATCAATGTAATCTTACAGGTTTAACAAACAAAAGCACTGTTTAGTATGTGTCAGGCCTCATTTTTGCATTAAATATGAGATTTGTATCTCTTTTAAGTTATTTCCAAATAAGCACAACTTTTTTCAGTTATGAATTTTGTGTACCACCAGAGGGAGCAAGCCACATATAAGAAGGCATGTATGAATCAATCAAGGACACACACACACACACACACACACACACACACACACACACACACAGACAATTTCTGGAGATTCTTTTTCTGACTCAATACCGAAACATATGCA